AATACGTTTCATGGGTACTCTGATTTCACTCAACCCTTTTTGGACAAAAGCCGTAGTTAAATTAAATTTACTAATTAAGGTGTGTATATATTATTAAAAGGTTTTATTCATCTTTAATGGAATCTTGAATTTTAATTAAAACTGGTAAAATTGTTGAATTAAATTTTCGGTCCGCTCAAAGTTATGGGCGAGCATCTAAAGAGAATAATAATATCTAATTTGGAGCTTATAAATATAAGTTTTATATTTTGTCTACTCCCATTGCATAATTTTGTATACATGATAAACATGCTTAACAAAGGGAATAATGAACTCATTATTCACGTTGTTAGGCATCAGTGATTGGCCCATTTCAATATTCACTGTGAATTGAACCAATCGGGTTTTAAATTGGTAGATGGGGACTGTAATAACATTTAAAATTGGTAAAAATGAGGTTAACCACTTGACAGATGTCAGATTTTATTTAATTATTTTTGTAAATCTACTTAAAGAATTTAAGAATTGTCAACAATACATTTAAAGCATACGAACTGTACATCATTTTAAATAAATAAGTAGTTTTTTCACAAAAGGCAGAAGTCTAACTTGACAAGCACAGCTAAATTGCGCACGTTATTTGTGTTTTGCGTCGAAAGTAAAAACCAAAAAACTTTGGTATAGTTTTCGATTTATTATTCCTTATATCATTGATTAAGAAACTCAACGCTTATATGCTTATATAGTTACGTTAGTGTGTGTATTTTATCCAAGTGATCATGGTGAATTATTTTTTTTTAATTGTAAATAAAATTCAAGAATTAAATCGTTGCATTTTCATGTTTTGCCAAAGGATCACATACGGTACGTATATTTTTTGGTGCAGAATTAACTCATAATAACTTTACCCAATATAATTTGTATTTAAGTTTGGACATTTAAATCTAACAAAAAATAATTGTTGTACAAACATAACCTTAAAATCGAATATTTTTATATTTGAGTCCTCTAAAAAACACCGACAACTGCATTTTAAAAAACAATATATACATACGAATTCATGATAACATAATATTATATATAAATTATAATATAATACCGGTTTTTGGAATTTTACTGTTGAGTGGAAACTTTCTTAACCAACTCTTTTAATAATGCTAAATCTTTTTTTAATTTAGACGACTTATTTGTTTTATGAGTTTTACTGAATTGAAATGTTTACAATTTTCACGTAAATCATTACTAAATGTGCATTTATTGTATCTAATAAGTACAATTTATATTTACAGGGACTGTATGCAATTTATTTCTCTATTCGGATTTCCACTGTTTGTTGGGAAACCGGTAAAACTCAACCCAGGATTTCCTCTCGAAAAACATCCAACAACACAACAAATCGTGCCACGTTTTTTTTACGATATTTTTAACAATTTCCGGCTTTATTCTCAAAAACACTGGTTTGTAACATACGCGTTTGACAGCTGATTACTAAAAGTTGTAATTTTGTTACGTCTGGCTATTCGAAACACAAATTCATCCTCATGAATAATAGCGAAATTATATTAATAAAAATGTATATTTTGTGTTTTGTTGGGGATGATGTGTTCTTTACATGATCTTGTTCATGACTAAAATCTTACAATGCTAGCATAGAAACAAAAATTGTTATGTTGGTTTTACAGATGCTTCAACAGGATATTTTTGCCATCTTTCCCTTTTAAGGTAAAAAACGTAGCGATCTTTCTAAAAACACAAAGATAACCAATTTCGTTGACTTATCAACAAATTTTTTTATTTAAAAAACTTATACAAAGAATTTTTCTTTACCACACAACATGTGTTTTTTCGTGATTCCTATTCATTGATCGCTTCAATTTTTCAATAAAAACGCATAGACATGTATTTTATTTTTAGAGAGTGTGCACACTCTCTAAAAATGAATTAGTCTAAAATGACTAGTTACAACAGTTACACTTATACCATGGTTAATAGGGTGTTTCATTGTTTATCACCGAAACTCCACAAAAATGTTCAAAACATCGAAAAAAAATTTCCCTCAAAGTTTGAGCCCTTAATTTTGATTTGAAGTACTTCCTTTTACATTTTGAATTTTTCCATTTAAAAAGCATGTATTTTCAATCACTTTTTTTAAATTTCTATATCTTTGCCGGGTTTTAAGCTATATTGTGGTTTATTTATTGTAACTTGTAAAAAATTTAATTTTCGACAAAAAAGTCCTTACCTTTATATCGCTGCACAGTTTAAAAGATATGAATGAGCAGTTTAATATTTAAAAAATTGTGTTTTCTTGAGATTAATTTGTCTTAAATTCGATTCCATGACTATTAAATATCTTGTAAACTGTACACTTTAGCGATATAAACATAAAAAAAATTGTAGAGAATGACATTTTCTACAACTTTTTCCTTTAAAATTTTTTGGTTAGAGAAGCCATTCTCTTGAGATTTTTAAAAATATGTGAAAAAAGTAAAAAAATGACTTTCAGAGCTATATCAAGGTGAATCGAGTTGGAGAAAAATTTTTATAGGCTCTTTTAACAAGAGTTAAATAAATACTCTGTAAGTAACAATTATGCACAACAAGATATGGAAATTTTAAAAAATGTCATTGACTATTTTCCCCGTCTTAATTTCCACCAATCACAAACGCGCAATTTTGAATTACAAATGGTTTCTAGGTGGAAAAACTGTATGACAGCACCTGTCAGCAGTTTTTTTCGAGTTTACCCGCGGCAAAACTTGACAGCTGTTGTCACCAAAATTGCAATTTAAATTTTAATTGAACCATAAATAATTAAGTTTGTAGTATTTTCCGATTAAATAAATTACCTATTTTTCAGTTTTCAAATTAATACCTACATACATATTTATTATGTTTGCATGTAGGTATAATAGGTAGTATGTTTTGTAAGCTATGTGTATGCAGAATAACTGTTACTCATGAAATAGTCTTATCAAATACCATTCGGGTATCAAATTTTTCCTGCACATGTGAAAAAAAATCGAAAAAAACACAATGCTAAGTAATATTTTTTAACAAAATGCATTCGTGCAGGTGCAAAAATCCTCGTCTTCGTTAAAATATTACTTAGCAACGTTTTTTTCGATTTTTTTCCGATAAATTAGATGCTCTTATGATCACGGTGTGCCTGAACGAAGTTTAAGTCACATAAAAATGCCGCCAAAAACTGATTCGGGACCCTTTGGTGAATTAAAAATGATATTTACCAAAATCCTAGCTGCTCTTCTTTTCAAAACTTTTTGAAAAGTCATGATTTTTTTTTGAAATTTTTGTTTTTCTTAAAGTCTACCATTGACAGAGTACATATTTGTACACCGATTTTTATAATATTGCAGTATAATGTTAAGGAGATTTTAAGAATACTTTTTTATACTGTGCACATCATTTAATATATACAGGGTTAGCCAAAAATCGCTTCTTTTAATAAAGCAAAAGCGTAACTTTATGATTTTGGCATAACAAGCAAAAAAGATATATACCCACCCATGTTTTTAGATATTTTTATGTTTATCAGGCTACAAAATGGGATTCTTATTAAGACTTTATAAGAAAAATTGATTTTGAATAAAATTAAATAAAATAACATTTTTTGGAGATAAATCTTTTTTGTGCATTATGCTTTTTACTATATAAAAAAGTGATTTTTGGCTAACCCTGTATAAATCTAATGATGTGCTGAGTATGAAAACAGTATTCTCCAAGTCTCGTTAACAATATACTCCAATATTATAAAAATCGGTGTACAAATGTGTTTTTCTGTCAAAAGTAAGATAAACAAAAATTTTAAAAAAATAAGAATTTTCAAAAATTTCGAAAAGAGGAGCAGCTAGGATTTTGGTAAATATAATTTTAAGTTACCAAAGGATCCCGAACAAGAAACTGCAATCAATAAAAATCGGTGTACAAATGTATACTCTAGCAAAGGTAAACTGCGATAAACAAATAATTTTTTGAAAAATGTAAAAAAAAATCAGTTAGAATTTTGGTAAATACGTTTTTAAATCTCCAAGAGTGCCGATCAAAAAACTTTGTTCAAAATTAAAAACTACTCAAAAGCCTTAAAGCCTAAATTGAACAACATTATACTCTAAGCGTTATTTTATTTAATTTATTAAAAATCTATTTTTTTATAAAAGGTTAATAAGAATGCCATTTTGTAACCTGATAAACGTAAAAATATCTAAAAAAAAATGGAGATAATCTTTTTTTGCGTGTTATGCCAAAATCATGAATTTACGCTTTTGTTTTTATTAAAAATAAACGATTTTTGGCTCACCCTGTATATACCAAATGATGTGAGCAGTATTAAAAAGTATTCTCTAAGTCTCCTCAATAATATACTCTAATTTTATAAAAATCGGTGTACAAATGTGAACTCTGCCAAAGGTAGACTTTGAAATAAAAAAAATCATGAATTTTCAAAAAATGTCGAAAAGAGGAGCAGCTAGGATTTTGGTAAATGCTGCTAAATGTTCGGGTACACTAATTGCTATTGACAATAATTATTAATGGCTTCTTTTTCGACTAATTCATTATAGAGAGCACAAATCAAAACAAGTACTTAAACAAATCAAAAAGCTTACCTCGAAATCGAAAAAACACAATGCTAAGTAATATTTTTTAACAAAATGCATTCGTGCAGGTGCAAAAATCCTCGTCTTGCACTCATGCTTCTTCTTAAAATATTACTTAGCAACGTGTTCTTTCTATTTTTTCGGAAAAATAGATGCCCTTATGATATTACTTACGAAAATACATGTTGTTTTAAATGAGTCAAATTGACTATATCTCAAAAACTGTTCTACTATTCTAACTTTTCGGATTCAGGGGACAATTTTGCACGGGAAATTGACTGCTAAATGTTCGGTATACAAATTGCTAGTGACGATAATTATTAACGGCTGCTTTTTCGCTATTTTTGACTAATTCATTTATAGAGAGCACAAATTCAAATCAAGTAAACAAATGAAAAAGCTTACCTCGATATTCCTGAGGGAGGTGCGAGCGCAGCAGCTAGCAGAAACTCGAACCGTGCAGATTCTGGATAAAACCGACTGGCAACGATGAAGAGAGAACAACGCGCGACAGAGAACTGAGAGTATGTGGCACTGACAATATAACAAGAGAGCGAAGCAGAGCTGAGCAACACAACCAGACGGATCAGCGAGTGATGCCGGTCTGCGGCCAATCGCTCTTCGGTCCAGAGCGTTGCGATGCTGCCAGTGTTGCCAACTGCGAGGATATCATGAGTCGGAACAAAAAAAAACCTGAGAATTTTGACAAATTAGAAGTATAAGAAGTATAACTTCAGTAAGCCGCCATAACAGCAAAAAGACATCTGCCCGAAAGGCTGAAATGGAAAAATCTAAAAAACATTCGTGTTGGCAACACTGGCGTTGATGGGGGCGCTAGCGAGAACAGCGATTCCATGAACACTCGCAGGAGAGACGTCGTCTATTGATCAGCTAGTGGGTGATTTTCTTGGCTCTTTCAAAACGTTATTTCGTGCCTGCATCTAGTAGCCTGGATACCATGCTTGTGGGGCACGCTGCACTGTGGCCAAAAGTCCAAAAAGTCAACTTCATCTGATCAAAAAAATAATACACCAATGTAAAGAAAAAATCTTAATTTGTAAGGTTCCGAAAGAAAAAGTTAAGAAACATTTAAGGCGCTGTTACTTCTTATACGTAACAAAAATATAAAAAATATGGTTTAAATCAAGAATGCATGTAATATGATTTTGTATGTTTTTTTTAAAATTATTTTATTAATTTTACCTATAAAGTTATATTAAATAATATAATACCTTGTAAAATCATAAAATTTTACACTTAACTACACTGTTCAAAATTATTAACACCATAAATGGTCTATATCGATACAAACCAAAATGGTGTTAAATATGTTCGATGGTCCGGTGTAAATTCAAATACTAAAATGGTGTTAATTTAACTTTCACACAGTATTAAAATAAATTTTACCTGGTGTAAATTGAACTCCTTTTCAGTGTTAAATATTATGTGTTTCTGGTCAAATTAAATCATACTACACAGAAAAAAGGAAAAAAAGGAAACAGGAAGTTCCTTGACGCATTACTAGTATATTACCAGTGGTATTATTCCAGAAAATGGAACCTTCAACTCGCTAGAGATAATGTTTTTAGTGCGTTCCACTAACTTAAAATACTTCAAGCTGTTTCCACCTATTTAAGGTCTCTTTAGTATCGAACAACTTGTAGTGTCACACCAGAGCAAAGGACCACCTGAGTTTATATATTCTTCATGTAAGTCAACAGAGGCGAGATTTAGGAACATCACGTGATGCACGCCGCCTTTGCCGCGATCGGTACACATTTTCAACCATAATTATATTAACACCACTTGGTGTTGGATTTTGACACACCATTTTAAGATTACTTTTTACACCACAGATACTTTAAACAGTGTAGCTCTAAAAATGAAATAGTCAAAATTCTACTATTTGAATTAATAAATTTTTTACTGATAAAATAGTCGTGTTCACTTTTAAATAGTTAGGTTTTACTACATAAATAGTTTAAGGTTAGCTCAAAACAGCAACACAAATAATACATTCAACTTTAAAATATATTTTAAAGTTGATATATTATGAACAATATTTATTGACAAATAAATTGATTTTTATAAGAGCGGCTGATAGCCGAATGGGTTATGACAACAGCTTGACAAGTGACAGACCTGAGTTCAATCCCCAGCTGGGTCAAAACTTTTTTTAAATTTAAATCTACTAATTTGACTATTTCATTCAGTGGAATTTGACTAATTATTAGTGCTTATAATTAGTTATTTTTGACTAATTCGTTTTATCCCTAGGGATAAGTTGTGCGGTCCAAGTTGGTCTAGAAAAATTTTAGCCCAAAGATTATCAAATAAGGCTATATGTATATGGTTATTGATACATCTTTTGACACCTAAGATAAATATAGTGGTTTATAAAAGGCCGCGCGCTAAGAATTTTGTATTTAAGTTTTGTTATGAACTTTACTTTGTTTTAAATAACTTATTAGTTTCTTAAAACAATTCATGTAGCTATTTGTAATCCTTTACATCTTATTACCTCGAGGATCAATAATTAAAATAAACCTAAATTTTTAATGTTATTTCTTAATGTATAAATTAAAAATAATATGGATTAGAAAAAATACGTTTCTTTTAATAGGTTGTTAATTTTTTAGGGCTATCCAAATAATTCGAATTAAAAATATCAATTTGAATTAAAAATATCAATTTATTGGCGAATTAAAAAAAATATTTCACTAAAAAACATGTTCAATTTATTGGTATGTCACGAACCTTTTTATTTAGAATTAAAAATATTTAAGAATTCAGATAAATTATCAACTGAAAAATGTTTACAATTTAATTAAATACCCGGATAAATAATTTAAATAAACTTGAAATTTTAATGATATTTCTTAATTGTTTGAATTACAAATAATATGGATTAGAAAAAATATATGTTATACAAATTAATTTCTGATATCAGAAATTAATTTGCGATATCGAAAATTAATTTGTGATATCAAAAATTAACTTTCGATATCGCAAATTAATTTTGGATATCAGAAATTGAATTTGTGATATCGGAAATTCAAATGTGATATTTTTAATTGACGATTAAAAAATACTTTGGCGTTCCATAAAGCATGGTCAATTTATTTATTAATAAAACAAATAAAAAAACAAGGCTTAACGTTTATTAATAATTGCAAAAGTGATTATTTTTCTACAAAGTGTAATAAAAAAATTATTTTTTTTAAGTTTACCGCCTTATAAAACCAAATTTTATAAACATAAATTATGTTTCTTGAAACTAATATAAAGCCATTATTCTGCATGCACAAAACATACTATATGTATAATAACATGCATACATAATAAATTTGTAGGTATTAATTTGAAAACTGAAAAATAGGTAATTTATTTAATCAGAAAATACTATACAAACCTAATTATTTATGGTACAATTAAAATATAAATTGCAATTTTTGGTGACAACAGCTGTCAAGTTTTGCCGCGGGTAAACTCGAAAAAACTGCTGACAGGTGCTGTCATACAGTTTTTCCACCTAGAAACCATTTGTAATTCAAAATTGCGCGTTTGTGATTGGTGGAAATTAAGACGAGGGAAATAGTCGACCAAATAAATAACAAAATATGTGCTGCTATTAATAAACAATTAATCTGTGATCCAATGAATTAACATTAACTTTATTTAAACCGATAACCTCATACACATTCAACAACTATTTTTTTATATTATCAAAACTGATTTTCTAGACTTTGTATTAAATACGCAATACATATGAATTGTGCAGTTTACATTTGTTATGGATTAAGAAAAAGGAAAAAATATAAACTCATTTACTCGTGCAGGGGTTTAAATAAGAGCTTATGTTTGTTCTAAAGCAGGTTTAAAGTTTTATACTATGTTTGCCTAAGTTTAAATTTGCAAATTTTAGCGAATAACCAAGGATTATATTTCGTTTTACTACTTATTTATTTCTGTATTTATTTACTTAATTTTACAAAGAATTTTTTTTATATTTAGTCTAATAAACTTAAAGGTAGTGCTCGTAAGAAAGCTTTATACATGTTAAAGTAAGTTTCAGTTCCCATCAGGTAAAACGATTATGAAGTGAAACTTCAGTTGGGTTCATATTACATATTAACTTCAAAATTTCAACATGCAGTAGATGGCTAAAAGTTTTGACATTGCATATAACGTAAGTAGGATAATTAATTGCTACTTAACCATTAGTGTCATGGAAATTTTAGTATTAAAAAGGGGCCACGATATTCGTTAATAATGTGTTTTCATTGGGACGAGAGATTAGAGCGGATACTTTTAAAAGCTGAAAACCCTTTTGAAAAGTGTGGTAACCACTACTAATGCCTCTTCTGCTGCTTTTTTTAATGGCTTAAGCGTTAAAATCTTCAATGCCTTGCTTTGCCTCTGTAGTATAGTCACTATACTCTATACTATAGAGTGGAGTAAAATTGAAAAAATGGCGGATGCCTAGGGATTAATAATAAATCGAACAACATTAAAAGAGAGTGGACCTATCAGATCGCTGTGAACAGTTTCATGCATAATTTAATTATACATGACATCAATTTGAATATAAACCGAATAGTTGTTTATTTAAGGACTGGTTAAAAGGCCCCCACAGATTTCTTTTTCATTAGTTTGTATTGCCACGATTGGCACTTTTTTGTATCAAAAGGGTATCAAATGACTAAAAAACATATTTCTAAAGGTATACAAGTTATAGTATTAGAAATAACAAAATATATGTAGGTATTCAAAAATTTATTTATAAAAAATATTACAAAGTAGCTAGCGTAAACTAGGTACTGTAAAAACAAGAGTTCTATAAATAGTTACCTTAAAGTCAAATCATTAGATGGCGCTGTATACAATTATAAATATTTCAGTCGGTAATAATATATAACTTTTTTTGTTTGGGTCCAATATAGGACAAACAAGTTTGCACGTTGCTTTGGTGAGTAAGATTTTTGTTTTTTTGTTAAGAGCAGGGCTGTGTTTAAATTACAATAAAAGAGATTTCTAAAAAGTTACAGATCAGTGTGTGGTATAAATGTGTCCCTCATTGTGTAAACATTGTCACTATAATGCGTTTAATTTAAATTCTGAAAACAAACAGTAAAATGGCCAGTGTCCAAATACTGGTTGGTAAAAAATGTAAATTTCTATTATTGGACGTATGTCCAATAACTGTGTTCCTTAAATCATTATTTTTATATTGTATTAATAGTTAGATAAAGAATAGTGTTATTTAATTTTCTTCACAAAGAATCTTTGGTTGGGTTTAAATAGTTATTGGACAGGTGTCCAATAACTGTATTTCTTGGTGTCCAATAATTAGAATTTATTATAACAGTAATCCTGTTTATGGACGGTCATAAGTCCTAGTTAAGTAACGGACTAAGTGTGTTATGCAATCAGTTAAAAATTGAGGTCATCTCTATCCAAACGCCACAAGAATTTTTCAACCGGCCGATGCATCGGTTTTTAGACCATTAAAAATGGCATGGCTACAAGGAGTTCGTGAATGGCGAATATTGAATAAAGTAACATTAGCTCCACTTCTCGAAAAAATATTAGATAGGTACATATAAA